TTGGACATCATCTCGTTGAAGTCATCCACAGGCAGATTGATGATCTTGTTCACAGTAAATGGGATCTGCAAGGCTTTTGCTCTCTGTTCGTCACGGGAGAGCCGGGCCTCAGAGCGTTTCTTCTGCTTGTCTTTGGTAAAGGGAGGTTTGGAGTGGCCATTGGCCTCTGCCGGCTCTATCTTTGGGTTCTTCGCTTTCATCTGCTGTGCCTCTGCTGGAGGTTTCTCTGAGAGAGATGCCCGAGATGCTTCATCGGTAAGGTAAACCAGTGGGAATATCTCGGCATAATCTGACTCCATGTCTCCCGGGCTACCGTCCATCTCTTCGGAGTCAGAGTCACTGAAACCAAAGTATCCATCTCCGTTCAAGGACTTCCCCGGAGAGCTCGTGTGAGGGCTGGAATCCAGCGACAAGCCGGAATCAGAATCTGGGAATTCGGACATAGGCTCTGGTTTTCCTGAGCTGAAGCTTCCAGGTGAGAAGCTGGGCAGATCCATAGGGTTCACAGGAGGATCGCTGGGGATCTCAGCCAGTTGGCTGACCGTACTTCCTTCATCGGATGTGAGAGGACCGCTGTTCACTTTAACCTCCATCTCAGGATAAAACAGCTCATTGAATTCTTCAGGTCCAAACTCGGCCCCCACCTCCGGGACATTCAGACTCATCTGGCTGAGGTTGGGCGACACCATAGTGTTAAAGGATCCATCATATGTGTTGATGTATTCGGGAGGACACACCTCTGTCTGGACGGACGAGAGATGGTCCATCCCGGGCAGATATTGGCTGTAGTTTGGGTCCTGTGCTTCTGTGGAAGGTTTCATAAATCCATCCATACCCAACGACTCCTGCATCTGCATGTTGAGGCACTGCTAAAAATACAAAAGAACAGCCGTGTGAACATTATAATGTGAAGTGAAGACACATATGCGTATGAGACAAACTGGGGTTACAATACGAGTCTACATTTAAGACTCTTTCACATTGTCTGGCACTGGGGAATGTTGATGTGAGTCACATGACAGGGCCTTTAAACCTTTTTTGTTTAGCTATGAACCAGCGTCCATGTATACTGAGGTCAAAAAGTGGTTAAATTCAAACACAAACAAATGAAGTATACATCCGAGTTGCCCGTCACACCACAGCATGAGCTCAGAGAGGGTAATTTGGTTGTTGCTCAGCAACAGGGTTGTTTTGCGACTTTCTAAACCACAGGTGGTATAAATCAGAGTACACAAAGAAGCACCTCGCAGCCTCTCTCTCTAAAAACCAATTTAAAGTAGTTCACATCAAAACTGAAAATTCTTCATGTCATTCCAAACCCAAAAGAGTTTTGTTTGAAACACAAAAGAGGATGTTTTAATGAAACCTGAGAGATTTCTGTCCCTCCGCTGAAAGTCCACACAACCAAAACTTTGATGCTTCAAAAAGTCCATAAGGACATCCTAAAAGTTGAGCACTGACGCAGTACTGGATGTGTTAGGTATGTTTTGAAGCATGGCTGCTGGTTTGAGCTCGTTCTTAGCTGGTCATGTGCTGGTCCTAAGCAACTAGCTCCTGCT